CCCTACAAGACCACCTTTTCCAAATCGCTAAATCTTTTTCCAAATCTTTTCCAAATCAATTTGGATGTTTCAGATCGATTCAGAGCTTTATATGGGTCTCCCCATTCGATTCGGATTCGATGATTTGGCCACCGAATTGGGCAAATCTTCTCTGAAATGAATAGACGACTGAAGCTTTGCACACCTCTAATAACTATTTATATATAGAGAAATATATTTTTCAAAAAAAAAGGTTGAACAGTGGGGAGCAGCCCCAGTCTGGCAGGCTGACCACGCAGGCCCCTTTGTGCCAACCAGGGCTGCTCTGACTTGGCTCAACGTGCTGTGCTCCTGGTTGCACATTCAAATGGCAGTGAACTCCAGAGTTTATTACTCCCAGGTACATGTTCAAAGAGCGCACCCAGGAGCAATAAACTCTGGAACAATAAACTCCAGAATTTATTGCTTCACATTAATTGCATGTGTAGACGTTCCCAGGTTGTCATACTGGGACAGTAGTAACAGGGTTACATCATAGAGCTTGTTTATTTTCTTTCTTTTTCTTTTTTTGATATTTTTATTTGACACCTTTCTCGGTGTTCTTGGAGGTGTTCTGTCAGAGGCTAGAATTTGATATACCTACCTTACAATTCCTAACCATGATATTATGAAATTCTGATGGAAGGGCCAATTGAATGCAACTTTCAGTGTCATTTTTTTCTTTCAATGTATGTCTACACTCTGAGCATTGAAAACCATGTTCAAATGATAAAAGATAAAATCACAGAACTGGAAGGGGTCTCCTGGGTTATTCAGTTTAGTCCCTTGCTATTGCAGGCAAACATATATCCTATCACCCCTTACATTGTGTTGTAATGAAGATCTTTAGGCCTCACAATACTGAGAATTTTCCAAAGAATAACTTCCTCTCTTTGAAGATAAAACCCCATATCTCTTTCTTTCCCCAAAAGACACCCCATCACTATTTTAAATGCAGGCTGTGTTAAATAATTTTTATTTCCAGTGCCAGTATTTTATGCAATATAACCTTTAAGTCCTCCGGCACCATTATAAAACCACATTACATATACAGCTTGTTTAAGGGAAAATATTGAGAAAGTTATATTTTTCAATATATGGTACATTCAAAGATACTTAAATTCAAGTCTTTGTTCTGAATTCACTGTGGATTTTATAAGGCAGCTCATGCCCTTTTTTCAAGAAACCTGTTTTAGTCCACAAAACATTTTCTTCTAAATTTTCAAATGATATAATTCCATTCTTCTCAGAAAGTCTATTTTTTCCAATACAGTATCAAGCAGAGGGAAGGAAATTGAATCATTTCGCCACCGGACACTCAGGTCATTCAACTGTGGCACTTTGACCACTTATCCTGACAACACTTCCTTTTTGAGGAGAACATCTTATGCAAAGACGCTGAAAGAAATGGATAGTATGGCTGCAAAATCAGATGGTAATAATTACGTATGTTCTTACTTGCTAAAAATATACCTACATTCGTCTTCCTTTTGAATATTCTGCTTTCTTATTTTTATTATGGAGCATTTAGATGTAATTATAGAGGTTTATGAGATTTTTATGGAACACAGAACAGAAAAGCACTTGGTTCCTGTCCTCTCAGGTTTTTAATAGGTTAGAGAGAGGTGAGGAAGGAATGGGAAGGTGAAAAAGGAAAAAAAAATATTATATGTGGAGTTTGGGGGCAGAGAGGTAGATTGAATTTGAGAGTAATCAGTAAAAGGTGATAGCTGCAGTACTTTGCAGATAGCACAGCTGCAAATGCTAGACAAATGACTGATTTTTACCTTTTATTTTTATTTAGCACCTTAAAGCCCATGCTCGGTTTCTTGCTAGAAACATCTAAATTCACCGAAGCACCATAATCCTTTCAGAGTGAGGGATCAGAAAGGGTAGGGGTCCTATATACAGAATAGAACTGGTGAGAAGGACTCTTACCTTTTTGCAGCTACCAAGTTAATATAACTTGTTTTATGCTTAAACCATACCCAATAATTTTTTTTAGCAGGATGAGGACAAGGAAAAATTGTTGTTATTTCAGTGTAAATTTTAAAAAATGGCTCTTTTTAATTGTTTCTTTTGGTGAAAGAAAATGATTCTGTGGTTGGCTTCTCATTCCCCATGTTATAAAAAAAATTCCTCAGCGTGAAGGTTTTGACTTGTATAAACAAAATAATCTTTTGATGCTAAGTGCTTGGGAGCCAGTGTGTGTGTGCATGAACATACATCCACCATCCTGGTCCCAACCCTCCAGCTCAGTTGTCCTTTAGTTTCTCTTCCAGATTGCTGGAAGAGTGAAGAGCCCTTTGTCATAGTCAGGTAATGTTGGAAAATGCTGTTCTGGCAGCACCTGAATTTCGTACATGGAGAGTAAGAGATCTATATGTAAATGGTCTTTTCTGGGTTCAGATTCTAAACTTAGGATGTGACCTGCCTTGATTTACATACAGCTCATGAGATTAAAACACCTCAGTTTTTTAGCAAGACCTGTAAGAGGTAAGATTTAAAATTATCATATCAGGTTGTTTAGATTACAGTTTCAGCTCTGGAGTATATGCTAAAGATTTTGATGCATCAGTGCTTGTCTCGAGCAGTGGGAAAGGCAAGCTAAACTTCATAGCTTTTGGTGTAATAATCTAATCATCACCAGTAGGTGTCATTGTGCTTACATTTAGATTAGATTAGATTAGAAAACACATTCATATAAATGCAATTGGCGCTTTAATTAATACTATGAAATTAGCAATGGGAAAAATGTCTTAGTTTAGTGCAAAGGTTGAATGCATTCAGAATTCTATGAGAAAATACACAATACGATTAGTATTTCACCCTTGTTGAACTAATATTGAGGTGTGAAAGTGAATCTAGCACATGGCTATATATTCCCTAGATAGCAAGATCTCAGAGAGGATCCTAAGACTCACAAAGGCAGCTTCAGAATGGTCAGAAAATCAGGAATCCCATAGCTCTTTGAAAAAAAGACCAAATATGGCAGCAGCTGAAGAAGCAGCAACACCAGAAGCAGCATCAAAATCCATTGTCCTTGCATGGTAATAATCCCTTGTTTATGAATATGAAGTGAGGTTAAATGCCTTTAGAGATAACTGAAGCGTAATTGTATTGCTACTTTCCTTTTTTATAAGAACCTATTCCACCAATTAGCCATTTCTGGAAAATAATTAGCACAAAGGTGTATGGAGCCTACTCCTGATTGCTGTTTTGTGTGATTTTGGTCTTGAGGTGAAGACGATGGTATGTTACAAAAGTAGACATATTACTGATTTTTCAGGGACTTAAGCAAGGTGGTCCTCACAGGTACCCAATAAGTGGAATAGGATCTGTTCCAGAGATCTTATGCAAAGATCTCAAGTGCTTTACAAAAAAAACGCTGGTTTCATCAGTCAAAGTTTGTAGATGGGAAAATGAGGCAGAATTGCTCTGACTTGCCCAAGGTCACACTACAGAAGCAAGAATATAATTCTGATCTCTTGCTTCTGCCCATTTCTTTGTACACTAAATAAACTGGCTCTTGAAATAAATTCTGCCCTGTGATACAGGCACAAAATTACTGCGCAGTAAGTGTCACCATCTACATGCAGTTGCAGAGCTGGGGCTGGGAGATGATGATCTCTTAGCTCCCTGCCAGGGCAGGGGAATGTTGTCCGAGGGGCAGGGAGCAATCTCCCAGTGCCTGCCATGAGACAGCTGTCTCCTGTCCCTATGCTCCCTGCCAGCCCTTGGGCTAGCATGTAGGGGGAGCCTAGAGTTCCCCCTGGCTGGTGCAGGGCCAGTTGGGGCAAGAGCACACTGCTGCCATGAGCAGCAAATCTGCTCCCACTTCCCCACACATGTAGATTCCTGCCCAGGCTGGGTGTGCTGTAGAATAAATTATTCTACACTAAACCCACCCCAGAGCATTTGCACACGTAGACGTGCCCAAAGGCTACTACTGTCTTGATTACTAATAAATCCTTCCTCCCTATGTGGCTTTATCATACTGCAAAAAGACTAGGTAGGAACGTAGCCGGTAGATGGGTAGCCAGTGGGAGTACAAAAGATGGGCTTCTGTGTCATGGTCTTGAAGCATCACAGAAGATCCAGAATCCACAGTTGTTGAGTACATTGTCCTATTGAGCCATAGGACATAAAACACCAGCCCTTCTTATGTTAAGTATAACGTGAGTTTTGATCCTGTCTTGGAAGATCACTTTTAAACTAGGAATATGAACCCTAAAAGCATCTATCTAAATGGATAATATATGACTAAAGGATGGCAGGGGGAGAGTGTTTATATCAAAATTTTAAATAAAGTCAGGGACTCAAATTTTGGTTTTAAGATCTTCACCTTTGAAAGTTAAGTTCCAGCAGATGTGAGTGTCTTTTAAATAATTGTTTTCCTGAGAGAATAACGGTACGTATTTATAGCCTTTCCCTAGTCAAAGTATTGTACAACATCAATTATTGAGAAGACCAAAAAGCGATGTAAATCTTGTTTTAGATAGAGGGATAAGTACAAAATTGATGGAAGATTGCAGATGGAGAGAGAGGACTGAGAGAGAAGAAAATAAAAGGGAAGTTAAAGGAGGCTTGAAAGAACCAACACAAGCTGAAAAGAGGAGATAGATTCATTGGAATTCCTCAAGAAGCTTTTACCTAGCTCAGCAGGGTTTAAACATTTGGAAACAGTATTAATACTGTGCTGTATCAGACTGAGCAGTTACTGGGGAACTGAAAAGCATCATGACTTAGTTGCATATCTTGGACAGCTTCAGAATATCTTTTTTTTTAGTTTCTCTTAGCAGAGTTTCAAAGCAAGTGTTAAGCTACTGAAATTTTAGACTTCCTTCCCCAATGAAATTCTGGCTCTAGTATATAAGCAACCTTCTCAATTATGTATTTGACCTTATTAGTACCATTTCCTATTCCAGAAGTAAAAGAACACTAATTTTCTGCTGTCAGTGTTCCTTCAAATTTACAAGAAAGTCCTGTGAAGAATCACTGTTTCTACACCTTTGGTTTCTGGTATCCTGAATGAAGAAAATACTGGAGTCCAATAAGTTCTAACCATTCACCTACTTTTTTCTATCACTTAAATAATCATTTAGGCATTCTTGGATTAATATTTCTGTTGTTCTGGCTTGGTTGAGTTGATGTATGGGAGCAATTTGTTAGGGCTTAGTGTTTTGTAGGGACCAAAACCATTGTAGTACATTAGGGAAGCAGGGTTTGTGAGAATGTGCTGGAATTAGCAGAGAGAATATGGTGTAGAAGAGAACAGGATTAAAGAACAAGTTGGGATATAACCTTTGGAATGAGGCTAGGACCAAGTTTTTTTCAAATGTTATTTTGGAGATTTAGAGGAGAGTAATTGCCCTCTCTGGCAGAGGAAGGGCTGATTGTATGATAAGAGGTGAGTGTATATTATTATTTTGCTTCCTCCTTTACTGCCTCCTGCCCAAAAAGCCATCCAGGAATCACCCAAACCAATTTCACCTTCTGCTGGGTCAAGTTACAGGCTTATTTCTTAGAGTAGTCTGTAGGAACTTTTCCAGCTCCACCTGAATCAAAACTGCAAGCTGTTTGAACACTCTTCAGGAGATGACTTCAGATTTATGGAGCAGTAATTGCTTGTCTTCACTGATGGGACCTCTGTGTTTTGTTACTCTTAAACATTCAGTCTGAGCAGGGAGTACCAGAAGTGTAGCAGGGCAGCCCTGCTGGATGATGACTATTTTTGCACCGCCGCCTCCATCTCAAAAAAGTGGCACCCACGGCTGCTGCTCAGGTCACCACCCCCTCAGTTATGCTACTGTGGTGTACCCCTTTTACCTGTACTCTGTGTCCTGGACACATTTTCAGTCACCACATTTTCATATGCCATGCACAAAACCACATATCTCCCTTACTACAGATACTTTTAAAGAAAAAAGGTTAATTTTAAAAAAGCAAAAAGAAAAAGAGGTATAGGTTGTAGCTGTGGATATAGGCAGACAAGGCTCTTAAGGAAAGTCTGATATCTTTTATTAGACCAACTAAAATAGTTGGAAAAATTCTTTGTAAGCTTTCAAATACAAACACCCTTCATCAGAGTGAGAAAGCATCTGCAGTTGGTCTGTGCTCTTCCTAGATGGAAGAGAAAATAAAAAGGCTCATTTTACTAAAGGCGAGATATTGGAATTCATAAACTTAGGCTTCCGCTTCAACTTTTTCCTTTGCTTTCCACTGTAAGAGTGAAACTAAGTAGTAAAGTTCAACATGACACTTCAGGTAGAACATTGCTTCCTTGCAGTTTTAATATTAAAATATACTGAGTTAATAATAAATGGATGAAAATTATCTACAGCACTTTTTATTTAATTTCTCTAGCAAGAAGAATCCAAAGCCAAATAAATATGAAGCCAGAAAGAACAAAGTCAAAAAGTAAGGTTTCTTTATAAGTATCGCGGCAAACAGTAGCTATGATGTCTTTCCTACTTAATTAAACCCATTTTCCATGGGACAGAAATGCAGTTGTTTTTTTCCCTTTCTCAAACTTGGCTGAGTGCTAACTGTATAAGATGTTTTTTGTTTTGTTTTTTTAAATTTTAATCTGTTCTGTGTGTATGGAAGTCTTCTTGTGCCTGTATATTTTATGGGAGAGTTTCCAAAATGAAACTATTGGGTGTTTGATTATTTGGTCATTCCAGTTACATGGAAAACACCGGCTTTTCATGAAATTTTCTGGGCAAAAACCTCATCCTCTCAAGTCCTTAGGTCACTGTCCCCCACCTGCCTAGATGCATAGAAGTCAACTCTGATATACCTTGTGTATATGTACCTGGTGGAGTGGAATTAGTTCTGTAATGAGCTAAAATAAATGAAAAGGTCCCTCTGATAATTACAGTATATGTCACATGAAATCTGTCTACTGGGTTATTGCTATTTTGAATATAATTCAGTAGCTCCCAGATGTGCAGCTTATACCAATTTACTTTCTATGTATTTACAAAATAGCAATACAGAGAAGTCTTTCCCTTCCTACCTCCAACTCAGCTAGTCCTCTCTGTTAAAAAAAAAATACTACAGAAGGTATAGAAGCAAAGCTGTAGACTACATCTACAACGGGACCTAGCTATTGCAATGCATGCTTTTTACATGCTCTCTCTCCCAGTGGAATCCTTGGCCCTAATTTAGGCCCCCAGGAGCCCAGCTCAATGCAGGAGGAGGGTCGGGTGCTTAAGAATGGGGTTCACAAAAGCCAGGAAGCTGAGCAGGTAATAATCAGAAATAGTCAATGGGAAATGCTGAGGAAAGGGTAAGGGTTTAAGGCCCACTCCTTAAAGGTAGTCAGGCAGCTAACTCCAAGCAGAGGGAGTCACTTATTTGTGCTTGGAATTTTCCTCTGTGAACTCTCATCAAGAGTTAGGTGTATAAAGTTAGCTTCTTGGAGAGGGAGGCGTGGGGAGTGAACAGTTTAAGTGAGAGGCCTGTTTCAGATTTTGACTTTGCCTGGGGTAGGGTTTAAATCTCTCACACCCAGGAAAGTATTCTAACCACCAAACCATTAAGTGTGGTAGAATAAGTCTTAATATCTCCGGCTGAAGCAGTTCCACTCTGCGTAAATAATGCAGTAGTTATTAAAGTGGAGATTTGAACATGATTCTCCTATATCCCAGATGAGTCCTATACACACTGGCCTATAGAATCACTTCCTCATTTTTCCTACCTTCCTAGCTCAGTGAGTACTACCATTCACACAGACAGGGCATATCTACGTGTGTTGCTATGGCGATGTTGTTACTGCACCATCATTTAGTACTTCCTTTTTGAAGTACTAAATTACAGTGCAGTAACATCATTTAGTACTTCCTTTTTGAAGTACTAATGTACAGTGCAGTACCAGCCTGTACTGCGCTGTAAGCATGGTGCATGGTTATTTTTAGCAGCTACTTCACCATAGCGGTGGGCTATAGTCACTATGGTGAAGTAGCTGCTGGTCACGTGTAGATGCCTGTGGATGCTACATCACCGTAGTACATTGCTGTGGTAATGTAGCATCATATGTAAACATGCTCACAGTGCAACATAGTGAGATGATTGAGTTCAAGATCTGAAGGAAAGGAGGAAGGAGAGCAGCAGAGAAAGGACTCTGGAATTCAGAAAAGCAGACTTTGACTCACTCAGGGACCTTGTGGGCAGGAATTCCTGGGAGGCCAGTCTGAGAGGGAAAGGAATCCAGGAAAATTGGTTGTGCTTTCAAGAAATCTTTTGAGGGGGTAGGAATGAACCCTTCTGATGTGCAGGAAGACTAGCAAGTATAGCAGAGGGCCAGGTTGGCTTAGTAGGAAACTCTTCAATGAGTTAAAACACAAAAAGGAAGCTTACAAGAAGTGGAAACTTGGACAAATGACTAGGGAGGAGTATAAAAGTATTGTTTGGACATGCAGGGATGAAATCAAGAAGGCCAATGTGCAACTGGAGTTGCAGCTAGCAAAGGACATGAAGGGTAAAAAGAAGGGTTTCTATAAGTATGTCAGCAACACGAGGAAGATCAGGGAAAGTGTCACTCCCTTACTGAATAGGGGAGGCAACCTAGTGATAGATGATGCAGAAAAGGCTTAAGTACTTAATGCCTTTTATTACCTCAGTCTTCACCAGCAAGGTCAGGTCCTAGACTACTGCATGTGGCACCACAGTTTGGGAAGGAGGTGGTCAGCTGACAGCGGCAAAAGAACAGGTTAGGGACTATTGAGAAAAACTGGACATATATAAGTCCATAGAGCCAGATGCAGTACATCTGAGGTGCTGAGGGAGTTGGCTGATACGATTGCAGAACTGCTGGCCAATACCTTTGAAAACTTGTGATCAGGACAGGTTCCCAGTGATTGGAAAAGGGCAAATAAAGTGCCCATCTTGAAGAAAGGGAAGAAAGAGGATCTGGGGAACTACAGACTGGTCAGCCTCACTTCAGTCCTTGGAAAAATCATGAAGCAGTTCCTCAAGGAATCTGTATCTAATCACTTGGTGGAGAAGGTGATTAGGAACAGTCAGCTTGAATTCACCAAGGGCAAGTTATGCCTGACCAACCTGATTGCCTTCTATGACGAGATGACTGGTTCAGTGGCTGTGGAGACAGCAGTGGATGTGAAATACCTTGACTTTAGTAAGGCTTTTGATGCGGTTTCCTACAACATTCTCACAAGCAAGCTAAGGAAGCATGGGTTAGGTGAATGGACTGTAAGGTGGATAGAAGCCTGGCTGGATCATCAGACTCAGAGGGTAAGAATCAATGGCTCCATGTCTAAGTGGTAGTTGGTATCAAGTGGAGTGCTCCAGGAGTCGGTCCTAGGGCCAGTTTTGTTCTATATCATCATCATATATCCCCTGCCTATAAGTTCATCACGGGGGCACAGAAGGGAATTGGTGAGGTTTTATTCACCAAGGCACCGCCAGGGGTTACAAGAAATAATGGCCACAAGCTAGTGTCGGGAATCAGAGCAGCCGGCCGGCAGCCGCCTTCTGA